TCTACCCAACCCTCTGCCATACATCAGCAGTCCCTCTAGGCTCCAAACTCACCCTATCCCAATGGTTAGGGGGAAAAGCCAGCTTTTTATGCCCCTACAAATTATTACTTCAGTATCAATGTTTCAAGTTTAATTTCAATTTTTAAAATCATCAATTATTATTCATAATAGTAATCTTCAATTCTATCAGGCTGATAAACCTTTCTTTTATCAGGTATTCCAGTGTAAAGCAGCAGAATGAGAAAATTCGCATTAATTCCTTAGCCACTTAACTTCAGCCACTGGTTTTCCTTGACCCAACATATACAGAGAGTGATATGGGAGTTCATAGTAGGTCAAATGAGAAGCTGTATTTTCCTTACAGTAGAGGTGTGTATTAAACTGGGACAGGGACTTGCCTCCGAATATTTGTCTCAACCAGTACTTCAGATGACACAGCCAAGATCTGTCTCAAGAGATGCATCTGCAACTGTTATATAGTGCTATATGATAGTATTGTTCCCTCTTCTCCCACTCCTCAAATTCAAACCAGAAGTATTACAAAAATGCATCATCGTTTTGTAATTCACATCTAGTCTTCAGAGGAAAACATCTGCTGAGATCTCTTTAGACATATCTTAAAATTGTTGTTGTTAGTTGTGAAGTCGTGTCCGACCCATCACGACCCCGTGGACAATGTTCCTCCAGGCCTTCCTGTCCTCTACCATCTTCTGGAGTCCATTTAAGCTCACACCTACTGCTTCAGTGACTCCAACCAGCCACTTCATTCTCTGTCGTCCCCTTCTTCTATTGCCCTCAATCTTTCCCAGCATTAAGTTCTTCTCCAGTGAGTCCTTCCTTCTCATTAGGTGGCCAAAGTACTTGAGTTTCAACTTCAGGATCTGGCTTTCTAAAGAGCAGTCAGGGTTGATCTCCTCTAGGACTCATCGGTTTGATTGCCTTGCGGTCCAAGGGACTCACAGGAGTCTTCTCCAGCACCATAGTTCAAAGGCCTCAATTCTTTGGCACTCAGCCTTTCTCATGGTCCAACTTTCACAGCCATACATTGCAGCTGAGAAAACCATGGCCCGGACTATACGCACTTTTGTTGGCAGGATGATGTCTCTGCTTTTTAGTATGCTGTCTAGATTTGCCATAGCTTTCATCCCCAGGAGCAAGCGTCTTTTAATTTCTTGGCTGCAATCCCCATCTGCAGTGATCCTGGAGCCCAGGAAGATAAAATCTGTCATTACCTTCTTTTCTTCCCCATCTATTTGCCAGGAATTGAGAGGGCTGGATGTGTAGTAATAAAATTATTTTACAAAACAATCATAAGTGAGTGAGAAACTCCCTAAAAAAATATCCCAATGGTGAAAGTAAAAATGTTGATAGGTTTCTACATCATATCCGGAGGGGGAGGGAAGCAACTGTATATGACAATAAGCAGTTTAGTTCACCATTATATCACAATTATGGAATATATGTTTATTTGTTCATACATTCATACATATATAGTATATACTCCTAAAACTCTTGTGACTGTTCAATACTTTGTAATCTTCAGTTGGATGAAACACTGCATTATAGGGCAAAACTCTGTCAAAAAATGGTATCTGAAATAAGCTAATATGCAGAATGCTGAGACCATTATTCTGAAGGATATGACATTTGGGGATTTTTTTTACCACTTCAGTGATGCTATACTGCTGCTGTTCAGTGCTATGGTGTGCTATGGTCAGCCATGGTCATGTCATCCTTATTTTCAATGTTTCTTAAAAGCTTCCCACAGGTTGTTAGGGAACAGGGAACAAATGGATATAATTGTTGATGCTCCTTGCCATATCCCCACTACCAAAGTATTTGCAGGGAGAAAGTAAACGGACAAAGGTGCTCCTTCCTCAAGTTTCTCTACACTTGTACCACATTGGCCACTTGTGCACTCTTTTGCTGCCTCCCCCACCTAGCAGCAGCTGGGTGGGTTTCCAATGCTCACTGCCAGTTTCCCACAAGGAAAGTAAGTGGAGAAACTGACAGGAAGTTGGAAATCTCTCCCACACAGACTGATTTTCTGCCCATTCTGTTTCTCTATTTAGGTAAAGAAATATCTCGTGGATATTTCTGGAGTCAGAGAGTTTATTATCATAGAATGGCAGGAACAAACAATTAAAAGCAGAGCAACACTTTAAAAATATGCTGTTATTTATGTGGTACAAAGGAATTAATAACTGCCCTCAAATGTTATGCCCTATTCATATTATACGCTATATAGTTAAGGATTAGTTAAACTGGTCAATTAGTTGACGTCTCTCAGTTAAAAACACATCATAATTTATATACACATAAAAATTTGCAAATTTTTAGATTTCCAGTGTTAACTTTTGTCCCCATTGGTAACTTTTAGTTTTTCAACCCTGGAGCATGTTTTGGCCCTTGGGGATTGTGTTGGGATGGGGAGCGGGGGTGCAATTTTCCTCACAGTCCACAGTTCACTTAATTCATGCAACCTCCAGCACAGTGGCAAGAGTCCCAGGGGTCTGCTGAGGAGGAAGAGGAGTGATTTCTCATTCTCCCTGTCAGCTTTCCACAAGCAATGTCAATGGGAAAGCCAGCAAGATGTTAGAGGTCACTCCTGCTCCCACTAAGTGGGTTTTTGAAAATTTGTTTATTGTTAAGAGATGAGATATAGAAAAATTGTATTTTTAGAAAAAAATATGAGTTATTGTGTTAAAAAGAAAGGAATATAAAGCTTTATTTGATTGGGTTTAAGATATATATATGTTGTTATTTCTGGTAACTATTAGTGGACTTTTGCTGATTAGGCTAATGAGGAGGCTTTAAGAATTTGTTTATAGATAAGAGATGAGATATGGGAAGAAGGTAGTTTTTCTGATAGTATCAGAGAACATGATAAGCTATTAAAATTATAGAAGTTATATTACATTTAATATATACTGAGCGCCAAAGAATTGAGGCCTTTGAACTATGGTGCTGGAGAAGACTCCTGCGAGTCCCCTGGACCGCAAGGTGATCAAACCGATCAGTCCTAGAGGAGATCAACCCTGACTGCTCTTTAGAAGGCCAGATCCTGAAGTGGAAACTCAAGTACTTTGGCCACCTAATGAGAAGGAAGGACTCACTGGAGAAGAGCCTAATGCTGGGAAAGATTGAGGGCAATAGAAGAAGGGGACAACAGAGAATGAGGTGGCTGGATGGCATCACTGAAGCAGTAGGCATGAGAAGATGGTAGAGGACAGGAAGGCCTGGAGGAACGTTGTCCATGGAGTTGCGATGGGTCGGACAAGACTTCGCAACTAACAACAACATTGTATATATACATATATACATGTATCTTTGTATTAGCTTTTTATCTTTTGTAAGATAATGCTTTTGTGAAATTTTAAACTGTAATAAAGTATTATTTAAAAAAGGATGGAGAGACAGTCAGAGTAAAGGTATAAGTATGAAATATGTGAGCCAGAAAACTACATGAAACATATATATATTTCTATAAAATATATATTTAGTATTAATGTCCTTCCTTCTCAGCTACAACTGGGGAATACAGATAATTATTCAATTATATAAGAAAAATCTGCCTCTAATAATTATGACTGGTTCAAAAAATCTAGAAGAACAGATGAAAGGAGATAGCTCAACAAATAATACGCTCTCTTAGATATTACACATTGTAAAAAAAAACATGAAGAAATCCATGCATATGATTTTAACATATCTTTAAGACAGCATGTAACCTGACCCCCCTTCTAGCTGTTTGCATATTTAGTCCAAATTTGCAAATAAATAGACAAGTCAATATAAATAAATGCTGAACCAATAAATTGGAAAGGGAACATTTAAGCCTTCCAGTCTAATACTTAACAGAAGGTGACAGATTGGAGAAAATTATAAAACACATGACTGAGAAATAGTTATAATCTTTTTCCGTTGGAGTTTGGAGGAAGATACAAGAGAATCAGCTATCCTTGATTTGAAAATAAACATTATATATTTTATTTACTTAATCAAGAAAACTGGAGTAGCAAGAACATTTTGTGAAAGTAACCATGTAATGCTGAATTTTAATAAAAAGGGGAAACTAAACCTGAATATAATTGAACATGTATCAGAGATTAGAAAACTCATTTTAATCCATTCAAGAATTGGATTCCGTGCCTAAATGGCCTCATCTAAGCTACTAGGACTCATCTATACACTACTAAAACAATTTGTGTCTGTAACATTTAACTCAGTGGTTTTCAACCTTTCTAATGCCGCGACCCCATAATACAGTTCCCCATGTTGTGGTGACCCCCAACCACTTACACATCACTGGGTGCCAGGTGCGTGGCCAAAGAAAAGGGGAAAAAATGGCGGACGGCCTTGTTTGGCGACCCCCGTGAAATGGTCGTTCGACCCCAAATGGGGTCCCGACCCACAGGTTGAGGACCACTGATTTAACTGGATGGAACAGTGCAGCATAGAGGCAAAACCTTTTGAAGCAAACTACCTCAAATGGCAAACCATGAGGCCCATGGAATTGAAATTTGGCAAACTTTATAAAATATTTTATGTTCTTAAAAATTATAATCCATAAAGTGCTTTATTGCATACTATAAAATGTCATAAAATATCTCTTGTGGTTAACTCCTGATATTTGATAATTCTATACAGTTCAACATGGGCTATTTTCAAAGCAGATACATCTCTGGATATCTCCCTACATTTTTAAGAACTTTTACAGTGAAGTATATTACCAGCTCTGATATTATTGAAGACATTAAACAATTTGGTGAGGAATTACCTCTGAAATGATGAACCAAGGATCACAGGTTATTTAGTCATAAATATATTTAATTTTATCTATCTCTGAATGAAATCAAATTTTATTCTGGGCCCACCCAATACAGTATATAGTACAGTCCAAAGTATGCCAATTAAAATGTGGGTATCAGACTTGGAAAAAATGGTAAAGAAATGAAATAATCAACATCAGAATAAAAGTTTATTTAACATATACATACCTTGTTTGAACGTAAAGATACTCGTCCTCCACAACGTGCACAAAATTTAGTTTGGCAATATGAACAGTTATGGCCACAGCCATCAGCAAATTTTGTTTTGTGACAAATGCCACAGGTTGGAGCGTCACCCTTCTGTTGTTGCTGCTGCTGCTGCTGCTGTTGCTGCTGCTGTGATTCTTCACCCATTTTCTTCACCTGTTCTTTATACATTTCAAACTGTTGGTGTAGTTTCCTGCACCCAAAAAGAAGAATTGTAGGTAAATATTCATATGTATGTAAGAGTAAAAAAATGTAAAAAAATATGTTGAGTTTATTTTTTAAAAGTTAGGATGCATTATCCTAATAAAGATAACGTTGGTTTTTGTTTACATATGATGAATTAACAGAGTGTGGTGTTCTCCTCCACATAGTGCTTCCTCTCTTGAAGGTAATGACTAAAATCTTAAAACAATAAATACACATCATTCTCACCTATTATCTCTATTATGAGAAGCTAACCTACATGGAACAGAAAATAGATTATGAGGGGATGCATCCATTCTATGGAAAAAATAAAATTTTCCAAAGAAAAGAATAAATACATGACATTCACTTACTGATAAGTGAATATTACAGTGAGAATGCTCTCAACAATCCTAAAATTAATAAAGCATTAGCTTCTTTTGTGAAGACAATGCTTAACTCCTGTGACTACATAGACACAGATAAATTTTCTTGGAAACAATAGGGAAAAATGCATCATTGCCTTCTCAGATGTTTTTCAACTTCCCAGTGGCCTAGAGCTCCAGAAGTTCCTGCTAGTTTCCATTGCAAGTATTAAGATTCTGTTTAGCTTCCAGATCCAGCATTTCACTGCTACCACAATCTTTCATTCTTCATCCTACAATTTCAATTCATATCATTTCTATTGATATATTTCCATGTTTCTCTAATACTCTGACTACATCTTTTCCATAATATTTCAAATATATTTCTTTATCTGAAAAACAGAAAAGCATGTGACTATTTACAAATCTTGGGAGTGACTGACAGGTCCTGCATTCCAGAAGTAGATCAAATGACTTTCAATCTGTATTATATGTACAGTAAACTGAAAGTCTTCATAGATTATCAAATATAGGGATTTACTTTTCATCCTCTCTATGAGCCAAAAGGGATATAAGCTTTTTAGCTCTAATTTTGTCTATAATTTATATATAATTTATACATGCTAACTGCACTAGAGGCTTAAGGTCAATTTATAAAAAGTTCATGCAGATTATTTAGACTCATATTGGACATATGCTACAGATCTGACCTGGTCAAAAGAAGAAATTATCTGAAAGAAATATGGAAACTCCCAAAATAGTGCTGAATTGATTTTTTTTTCCCCAGGGCTTGTTAGTTTTTCAGATGTATGTACACATGTAAGTAATTATGGGTGGATGGATGGATAGATGCAAGCATACCTTTATATAAAAAAATACATGGCCACCCATCTTATGTACCACAAACCTTGGTCACTCATAGAACCAATAATAAACATCAAAGAAAACATTAAAGCCAAAATAAACAAAAAAAATTCACAGTGCTCTAAAACAGCATTCCTTAATATATAAACAATTACAATCCCGCAGCTCCAGTCTCTACTTTTAAAGTCTACCACTTTTAAAAGAAGAGACCTGGAGAATGCCCAGTTTATCTGACTCAGTAGAAGGAGTAGATTCCTTTGGGGAGAGACAGTACTGCAAATGATTTGGCCCCTTGCCATTCAGAAGCTTTAAAGGTGATCAACAGGACCTTGCATTCTATTTAGAAAAAAATTGGAAGTGCAGCTCACACAACTGTGGTGTAATATGGACAAACTGAAAGGTGCCCAAAACTGCTTGTGCTGCCACATTCTGGACTAGTTCTAACTTCCTGGTGATTTTCAAGGAAAGTCCAATTTTGTAAAGCACTTTGCAATAATCCAATCAGAAAGTGTTCCAGGCGTGAGTGAATGTGAGCAACTCTTTTAAAGGTCCAAGGATGGGTACAACTTGTGCATAAGATGAATCTGTACAAAGGTAAGCATGCCTGGCATCTATTCCTTGAGCAGGAGCAGTAAATCCAGGGAGAAAAAAAAACATACTACCACTAGCTCTGTCTGGGCAAATGCTACCCCATCAGAAAACAAAAATAATACCCCACCAGATCCAAGAGGGCCAAAAACGCAGAGCCACTCCATCTTGCTCTGCATTTAGAGCCAGATCATCCCTATAAAGGCCCTCACAGCCTCTAGAAACTGGATTAGCAGCTCAACAACGTTGCCTGATGGGCACAGCGTGGAAACATGTAACCCCATGCCCAAATACAGCATTTTCATGAATGAAAAGGAATGGCAAGAGACTTGAAACCTGAGATAACCCCACAATGCAGACAATTAGATCTCTACCCCATCATTAACACTGATTGGAATCAGCCATAAACGAAGGATCACCACCAAAGAACTATTCCCTCCAGCCCCCAAAGCTGACCCAGACATATACCAGGAAGGGATGCTGTGATGCTTAACTCAAGCTTGCTGAATTTCTATCCATGCAATTGACCTTAAAAATAACAGAACTGATTTCTGAAATAAGAGCATTAAAAAGTAAAAGAACACACAGTTAAGAATAAATTGTAAAACTACAAAAGCTCAAAGGAGAAATGGTAAAATACAAGGGATTGATGAATGTAGGTTATCTGTTTAAGAAATTGGGTAAATATACGTAAGGATAAAAATACTTAAATTCTACTGAAATAAAGTATATAGAACGTTTCAGTAACACTAGACAATTTCAGTTTCTGTAACAACAGCCCTATGAAAACAATTACACATAACAGGCTCTGAACAAATAACTCATAATTAATGAAAGAAAATAAATTACTTTGTATGTCATTTTTCTTGTCCTTTTCGTTCACAATGTACAAAGATAAATAAGTTTCTTGTATCTCATTAATCTGGGAAGTTTGATCTAGCCTGGCAATGTTTCATCTACCAAGTATATTTTTATACTTCATAGCAAGACTAAAAATTAACTGTGGAGAAAAGACCCATATGGCCAGTAAAATATGAGAGAAACAGAAGTAATCCTACAAGACAAAGGTTAATTTCTACCAGGCGTTCATATGCACTGTTTTTTTAGTCTATACTTCATACTGCAAGCTTCCTCTGAATCAATATATTTTTATTCTTGTTGATATAAAGACTGAATATTCTTTAGTTTCCACAACTTAATTATTAACTACTTCAGAATAAAGGTAGTCCTCAAATTACGTCCATTCATTCAGTGTCCATTCAAAGTTATGGTTCACTGAAAAAAAATGAATATATGATCAGTTTCTGAAGTTCCAGTCACTGCAGCACTAATCACAATCCAGGCTTTCAGGTGACCAGCTTGCTATTACATCATAAGGAGCTACAATCATGTGATCACCTCCCATTCACAATCTGCACTGGTTACCAAAAAAATCCTGGGTGTGTTTCAAGGGGCTTGATGTCACCTACAAAGCTCTTCATACCATGGGTTGACTGTCTGATGGAGAACCTTTCTGCTATTGTTTCTGTCCATCTTCTAAGTTCTTAAAAAATAACATGTTCCAATTCCTATCTATTAAGCAATGCTATCTGATGGGATTTGAAGGGATGCCTTCTCTGTTACACCACCTGCCCTTTGAAAAAGTATCCCCCCACCCCAGGGTTTAAATAGGTTTTACCTCGCTGTGCTTTAAACAAGTCTTGAAGATAGGTGGAATGTGTATCCACCTGAATGGATACACTTACACAACAATGTAAATGTTGTTGCAGTTTGTCAATTCCCCTTGGCTATAACCATTTTTTTTACTTTTTGTTTATTTTTAAGTGTTTTTAATTTGCATGACCCCTAGAACCATCATTAGTTGGGTAGCTTTATCATTTCAATAGATAAATATATATGAAAACGTAAAGACACAACTATAGGGAAGATAGTAACCATATTAGTAAATATAAATTAACATTCTGTAAGATGTCCTCATATTATGAAAATAAAGTGCCCAATAATATATTAATCTATTTTAACATTGAAATGTAACAACCCCAAACATTATAATAACAGGAATTAGAACGAGATCATTCTACATCATTTACAAATTCATGACTGTGCTAAATAATTAAGCAAGTTGTATCCTTTTACTGCTGCAACAGTATTATTCTTACTTGATGGTTTTCCCTTTAAATGAATAGAAGGACAGACAATGGTAGGTGTGCTGATGTAGTCAGGAACAGAAGCATTTACCATTTCATCATCTAACCTTACAATGTTCACATAAACTTTCTATAGAAAAAATAAACTTTGGAGTAATCTATACATGAAAGAATATTGATAGTGATAAAGACAGTGATGACAGACTACCAGAATTAGAACTGTAATACTATTTGTCATATAATGATTTGGGGGCAACAGATCTTAACCGTCTCTATAACTAAAGCTTCAAATAAAAGAATAGGGCAGAAGTACTAGCAATAAACACTAGCATATATATGAACAGACCTATTAAGCTAACAAACATGCTACACCACACATTGTTCACAATGATATTTCCAACACACACAAACTCAGTTCAATTTTTGTCAAAGCTTTGACTTTATCAAATAAATAACATTATATATTTAAATGGCCAAATCATTCAATCTATTTCCTCTTTTTAGCAGACATTCTTGCAAATAACTGCTTTATTTGAAATCTGCTCAAAGCATGATATGAGAGAAAGAGATAATAGCTACTTTCCCAACAAAGGCACTTATTAGTCTACCAATATTAAATCCACAAACAGTGCATATAATTCAGAGGACAATATTAGATTTTATCAAATCAAGCAGAACGTACAGATATCAGGGAATATACGTTACAGTTGAAGCAGCCTATCAAAATTCTCACAGTCCATAATCAGCAGCATGGAAACTGTTAGTCAATATGACAAGCATCAAATCAATTCTTCTATAAATTCATATAGTTCTATTAAAATTCCAACATATTTAATCATAAATTAATTTGACTTGAAAAAATATGAGAACTCAAACAAAAGATAGAAGTAAAGCACTTTTTGTTGCCATACATCAGGGGTGTCAAACTGCCAGCCCACAGGCCGGTTGCATTATGCAGAGGCTGCTCCCACCCCAGCTCCGGCAATGGAAAAAAAGTTGCGATACATCACAACACATCACGTGACGTGGCAAGTTTAACACTCATG